AGCTATATGTCCCAAGTGACTCAACGTCAATCTTAACATATGTGAAACCACATTAATAAGAACATAGAGAGCAATTTCAAGCTGTCAGGCAGTTCTATAGAAGGCTAAATGTGTTTTTTCATTTCTAAAAACATCAAGTGCACCTGGAAGTAATAACAAACCTCACACCCTGATCTCCGATCCTTTCATCATCTATAAAGATGGCTTGTTATTGTCCATTTATTTCCATTCACACTAGAGAACAAGACAAGGCATGTGTCATGTTTTCTTCCTTGTTTACGGCGACGGGTGTTTCCACCTGGGCAGATTTTGATGGGGAAATTCCAGGGCTTGCTGGCTGTCTGTGATCCCAAGGGATATACGGATCTAATGAAGAAGGGTGGGGGGACCCTTGAACAAGCTGCAATGTGAAAATGTGTCATATCAGATGACTCCATTGCTAATTTGATCAGAAGGTTATTGATTTTCTAGGCTAACTTAACTGATTGTAATCTGGTGAAAAATTAATTGGCCATATGGCTTTAAATTTGGCATGGAACTTTTTTTTTTTTAAACCAAATATACAAAATATGCGGTTCAAACATGGACTTATTAATGACGAGCAATCCTGCCGAAATATCATGCTGAAATTTCCGGTGATATGAGATTTTACTGAGTGGTTTTGTTGATGACAGCAAAATAGTTCACCCGAAAATTAAAATGTACACGCGCTCAGACCATCCAAGGTATAGATGAGACTGTTTCCTCCTCAGAACAGATTTGGAGAAATTTAACATTACGTCACTTGTTCACCAATGATGACCTTAATGATGTTTTTTTTTTCTTCACAAGCCGTTAATTGGTGGACTGGAGTTGTATGGATTACTTGTGGATTATTCTGTTTGGACTCTCATTCTGATGGCACCCATTCACTGCAGAGGATTCATTGATGAGCAAGTGCTGTAGCTAAATTTCTTCAAATCTGTTCCGATGAAGAAACAAACTCATCTACATGCTGGATGGCTTGAGGGTGCATACATTATCAGCCAATTAAAATTTTTGGATGAACTATTCCTTTAATACATCTTCATATGTTTATTTTATTTTTTTTACCTATCAAACATGTAATGACAAGCAATCCTGCTGAAATATCGTTGAAATGATCACATTTAGGAAGTATTACTATTACTGTTTTGTTGATGACAGCACAAAATGAATCTCTATGCTTTTTTTTAATATTTAAGAACATACTAGCTAGAATGAAACTAAATATCAAACAGAAATATATGTAGAGGCACCTGACTATTACAGGTTCTTTATATTGTCAACTTATTGTGAAAATTACCAGCCAATCAGGTACAATACAGCTTTACTTCATTGTAAGTGTGCCTTCAACAAAGGTTCGCAAATACTGCTCTCACAGTCTAGTTAATGGTTAGCATTTTTAGCTTCTGTGACTCTGGGACCTCAAACATCTGTCATTCAATGAGTTTTAACAAAACAAATCCCCAAAGAGTTCAATGGTTCTGCACTAAAGAGAAGAAGTATTCGGTTAAAAGATTTCCTCCTTTCAGCCATAAACAATAATGTAAATCAAACAAGCCGCCACATAAAAGTTATATTATAACCCTTTTCAACATCATATTTATTATGTACAATGTAAAACCTGAGTCAACACGTGATTAAAGAGCATCTCTGATGTCTATGTTCTGTTTGGTATTTAAAGAAAGCAGCACACAACTTTATAATGAAAATAAATACTTTAAAATGACTCACAATGACAGTCAATGGAAGGCTTTGGGATTTGATTGCATTGTATAGTTTTGACTTTTGATAATATAGTTCAAGAAAGTGGTTATGGGTCATCGTCTAGTTTTGATATTTGAATTTGATTTAAAAAAATAAATAAAAATGCAACTTTAAAAAAAAAAAATGTCAACTGTATATATATGAAAAATGCGAAACAACTCTTCTGACATCACATGAGCCACACACACACATACACACACACACACACACACACACACACACACACACACACACACACACACACACAGACCACAGACACACTCTATCATTAGTCTCATCACTGTCTTCACTAATTGCCATGGACAATATTTTCTGTACTTCCCATGCTTAATTTATGTGCTTAATCTATTAGTAGCATTTCCTTTGAGAAAACACTGTCCCTGATGAATACGAATGACCCACTGCTTCAGAAGCCTGTGCAGGTGCAGGGCTGCTGGCTTTACAGAGCCAGTGGCCTCCCTGCGGGTGCAGGGCACCATGTGTGCCCTGCTAAAAGTCACTGAAAGAATCAAAAAGCCAGCGGAGGACTGTTACAGACAGTTCCCATAGTGCCTATAATGCTTGAATGATTTGAAACAAGAAGAATAAGCATGCAAATATATAATGCACTGCAAACGCTTTGAAGTTATACATCAAAAACAACGTCATAAGTCACAGAGGTCATTGCTAGAAAGGCAGAGCGGAGCGCTACTATAGATCAAACAGGACATCTAAATCAGTCCTTAAGTTGTGTCAAATACAAATACGGAGAATGTCTCACATTCAATGATTTTGTTGGCTATTTAGCTACTGGGCCATGATAACATATTCAGAGTGCATCAGACAGGAAGAGCTTAACAATGAAACAGGAGTGAATCATGCAGTGAGATGCATGGGTAACTTCATGTTCTCTAAAATTATATTAACTGAGAATCTCTGCTGTCGCATGAAAATTATGAGTGACAGTGGTAGAGAGCAATCCAGGAACTGTATATGAGTCTGTCTACCAGCTGCACTAATTATTTACAATATTTATTACATTTAATACATTTATCACATATTCAATTCAAATGATTTACAAATATTTCATATATATTAAATATTTTATTAAACATTACATATCTGACTTGTAAAATAAGTAAATATTTAATTTATTAAATATATAAAAATATTTAAAAGATTTTAAACAAACCCCCTTTAAGTCTACCTTGATCAGACAAATTGATCACAAAATAATTCAGAGTGAACTGTAGGCCAGAGATATGCTAATGTTCAGTGACACAGAGATGAAACAAACAATATATTGACTTCGAAAGCCACTTCCATGTAAAGTACAATGCAAAATAATGTCATTGCTTAAATTATCTTAATTTGGGGCCTAGCAAATACTGATATACGTCATTTATAACCCGTCATTTATAACGATCAATAACCCTAATTTGTGTAAATGTGCCCAGCAAGGCCTCTTTACTCATTGCTGGGATAAAGTTGTGTCTTGTACCACTCTGCAAAAAAAAATAAATCAATGTAGATGCAGCTAGTAATGTGTCCTCCTTGTTTTAGGCCAGTCTGAATCCATAGCTATCCACTGCCTTGACTCAGCTGAAGAGCACTTTAGGGGCTATAACAATTTTCCATTAGCTCTCCATTCATGCACACAGACACAAGGCCCTGTAGCCGTCTCCTAAAACATACTGCTCTAAAATACAACCAAATGTTTCAGCTGATCCCATTGTTTTGGTCTTTCTCATTTTCTTGTCCTCTCTGAGGAAGAAACAGAGCCAGACATAGATTGGAAACTAGAACGAGGGCCTGCCTGACATCTTCTTTTCTCTCTCCTTCCAGTGTGCAACAGTTCTAATCGGCACCGGGCCAGACTCCGCTTCCAGACGCACCTCTCTCACCCTGCCTCGCCCCCCTCTGGAGAAAGCTGCTGTTGCTTGCATAGCTAAAAATAGCACCTCTGGAAACAAAACCCTGAGAAGTAAAAGGTGAGCATCCCATTGCAGAGTGAGAAACCTGAGAGTAGGTGAATCTGAGCTGTGGAGGAGGGGAAAGATGGGAATGCTAGTGGAAGAAATGAAATTACGTACTATATGTCATCTATTGACCTTATTTCAATGCAGTCATTAAGGACGTATTGGATATTATGCAGCAAGTCAATCAATCTTCCTAAATATCCTAATTCATCTTCTGTTTATCCATATTTAATACTTCAAAGAAAAGTGAGAAAGAAAGAAAGAAAGAAAGAATGAAAGAAAATACTTATTTACATCAAATTTACCCAAAAATGTGAGCTTCTTCCCATTTAAATTTTCTTTAAGTGGCAGAAGGTGCTGAGAGAGAATTGCAGGTTTCTCTAATGCTGTTTTAATTGCAGGCTCAGTGGGAGTATCCACAGGATTGAGCCACAACTAACATGTTGCCAAGTAAAAGGATTTCTTTAAAATTCACCATATGGCAGAAAATACCTCTCTATAGGTGGTGAGGGGGTGTGCAGGTAAAAGCATGTGGTCATTTGTAGACAAATTCCTCTCATTTAAAAATGTTTTTTGAATAACGCAACATTTTATATTTAAAAAAAAAAAGCTCATTAAACATCAAAAAGTGTCATGTTAAACTACAAAAATGTATATATAAATGTTTTCTGAGGATTAAACATAATCAAAGCTAGCAATAGAAAATGAGTGGAATATCAGCGTCTAGTGGTGTGATAAAGTCACTGCGACTTACAGAGAATGGACACTGAACTAGAAGCGGAACTGGGTTTGATGCAGTTGAGCAATAGTAAAAAAACAAAAATAAATACATAAATAGTTCAAAAATAGCACAACCATCTATTTTAATATTCTTCTAAAACTTAAAACCTACAAAATATCATATTACATGAACTGCTATTATATTTGAAGTTTGCATCATTGGTTTTGTTGCTTTCTTTTTAATACTGTGTAGCTGGTTTGAAACAATCTCTATTGTATAAAGCACTATAAAAATAAAGGTGACTTGACTACATTTGTAACCTCCATTCACTTTTTTTAAATGTATAGGCTAGATTATGTTACTGGTTAAAATGCAGGCAGTACCGTTTGCTCTGACAAATCCAAGATTTAATCTGACACAGTTCTCATTAAATTACTCTTTAGAAATTCCTAATCAGGATAAAAAAAAAAAAAACTTTTGTCGGGTTGCCAGCAGTTATCAAATTTCACTATCTGCTAAGATCTATGAAATACCTCCATGAATGATTGCAACACAATATGACAAAGACTGCAGAATGGGGGGATGACGTTCATCTCTGGATCATTCAGAGCACGGTCCAACTCAGTGGTAATATGGGCCCAGGCCAGGTCACATGGCCACAGATATCATCTGATGTGGGCAGCTTTGCAACTTTAATTCATGAAGGAAAAAAAATGAGTTCGGTTAGTGGACTAACTGAGTTTCCCAAAGCTGCAGTCAAAAATTATAAATGGAAACCTTGTCCCTGTAGGCCCACATATTATGAAGTCAAAGATCAAACAGAATTGTACACAATCACAACTATGCAATCGGAGTCCCAGATTGATTCTCAGATATATCAGAATACTTGATACTTACTTTAGATATTAGGTAAGATAGATAGATAGATAGATAGATAGATAGAAATGCTACACAGACAGACACATTTAAGGCTTACAACTTTTCATCCTGCCATTAAAGCAAATATAAATCACATTTAAAGAATACTATGTAATAATAATGCTCATTGCCAATATCAAGATGATTTGCTATCTGAACCTTAGATGTCAAACTTATTTTATCCACACAGGCAAAACTAACATCCTAAGAGACAGTGAATTATATCACAATGCAATATTTACCATCAAATGTGGCCTGAAGGTTCCTCATGTAATGAAACGCAGCTGCAAATGTTAGTCCCGTTCGCACAATATCCTTGAGCTACAAGAAGCGCCCTGGATGGGGCGATGACACTTTCACTTCCTACAGCATCCTTGGCCAACATTCGGCCTCAAAAACAACTAACAACTTGACAGCCTCGAAACGCCCGAGTTTATCCATCTAAATATGGATGGTGACTTTAAATGAGGCTGCTTTTATATTTATCTACCGTTTGGCGAGATATTGCCGGTCTCTTCGGGCTGTGATCATTTGCGCAGAGCAGCAGAAATAAGACCGCATCACTCAGAGATGCGCAGAGAGGCTGAAGCACGCGGGATGCGCGAGCGGCCGTATTAAAGAAACACAAATCTAGTCTGTCTTTGTCTGCTGTGGAACAAGGCCAGTGGCTTGTAATTCATTAACCCTGACAGCGCTGTGATAACATCGCACTCTTACCTGTGTCGCTGTTGGTTTGGCCACATATGATGCAGTGTGATTCTCCCATACGCACTGTAATGCGGTAAAGGCGGGTAATATCCTCCCTTGCTTCGCTCTCTCTGTGCATCCCTCTCAGAGCGCGCGCGCTAAACTCGCTTCCGATTTTACAGCATCCGCGCTGCACTTCAACGACGCGTCAGTTTCATAACACGTGATTAATGCATATATTTGTAATAGCTAAATAAGCTAAAACACACTGAACGCTTAAAAATAAATAAATAAATACAATTATGGGCTGGTTTATTTTTTACAACAATATTTTTTCAAATATTACTTAAGTCTAACATGTGCAGTGCATGTAAACACAATTGCACCGTTTTGGTTATAGATTATTTCTGAAAGGCGTTGTGGTACTGATGACAAATTACACAAATTCAACTATTAATTTGGCACTCAAACAAATTACGCACAATTGTAAACAGACAAATAAATAAACAAACAAAGCTATCTTCAAAGTTTTTTTGGTTACACTTTACTTGAAGGGGTGTGCATAAGACTTGACATGACACCTACATAATCATGACATGACACATGTCATGAATATGAAGGTTTTTTTATGCAAGTTTATGACAACTGTCATTAAGTGTCATTCGCTCAGTTATGTAATTTTTAATGCAAAGATGACATTGTTTGAGATGTCTTTGTTATGGGCTATGGTTAGGGGTGAGGGTAGGGGTAGGGGTAGGTTAGGGTTAGGTCAAATAATGTCATATTTGCATTAAAAATGACATAACTGAGCGAATGACACTTAATGACAGTTGTCATAAACATGCAAACCTCCTTCATATTCATGACATGTGTCATGTCATGATTATGAAGGTGTCATGTCAGTCCTATGCACACCCCTTCAAGTAAAGTGTTACCGTTTTTTTTAAAGAAAGTAATCATTTTATTCAGCAATTAATTGCATTAAATTGTTCAAGACTTCTACACTGTTTAAAAAATATTTTCAAATGCGGTCCTTTTGAAAATTCAATTAATAAAAAATTCTTAAGAAATTAGTATTTTCACAAAAATATTGAACAGCACAACTGTTTTCAACACTGATATTAATAAGTATTATAATGTATAATGTATATTAAAATGTTTCAGTGTTTCAGCATATTAGACGTTTGGAGCAATGGCACCTAAACATTTAGCATTTCCATCACAGGAATACATTAAAATATATTAAAATATTACATGTATTTACTTACTTAATTATTTATTTATTTATTTTATCAAATAAATGCAGCCTTGGTGAGCATAAGAGACTTCTTATTGCTGAGCCCAAACTTATATATATATATATATATAAACTGTCATTTGATGAAAGAAAGAGATGCACAGGATTATTCAAAACAATATCTTTATCATGATAGGCTGAGACATACTCTTTCTTTATCAATGGCATTCTGTTCCAAACACACAGCGTTCTTTGATTGGAAACTTTACATCATCCATTACAATATAGTGACACACTGGCCCAGTTCAACATCACACATATAGCATGAACAGAGTCGCACAGACTATCCCCTTGAACGCATATCTCCATTTAAGAGTATTATAAGCATCAGAAATGCACAAGCATCAACAAATAGACACAGTATGACAACACCTGCACATTATCTATAATGGACTTTTACACAAACACAACATAGAGATTATTATAAAAAGGAGTTTTCAATATTAAAACTGCAGTCAGTATCAAATGTAAAGATGCAGCTAGAAGATAAGAAGTAATTGGAGAAAGTCTGTGACAGGCATGGTCATTTAAAATAATACCATTTACTCTAAATTACATTCCAGAGGCCATACATCTCTAGAGCTTCAAAAAACTACAGCTTACAGACCAATGTAAATTAAGCTGGAAAAAATGTCTCTGAGAAGTTTAAATTTTACTTATGGACAAATATACTGGAAGCTGCTGGGAAATCTAATCTCGTATGCAGCCTGCAGTTTGTTCCAGGCTCCTCAGCTTGCAAAAGTCAATCCTGCATACTAAACCTTAACGACAAAGGCCTGCACTGCCATTCCCACATTATACACAGATTTGCTAGGCACTGACAGACTTTACTGTGATGTTTGGAATACAAAGTAAAACTGCTCAGTACCCCGCTGCCAAGGTTTTCATGTAGTTTATGCCAGTCAAGGTCACACAATGTACAGGTCAAACTTCCCTGCAGTTACTGTTGTGTGCACTGCACACGTGTACTCTTATATGTGCGCGCGAGCCTCTAGTGGTCACAAAGAGCATTACAGTACGACTAGTATTGACTACAGTAGGCTACTGTACAATAGGTACCATGGTATCGGCCTGCTACAGTAGTACATGGTCTTTAGGTAACACTATGTTATGTGGACACTTATTATGGCATATCCTCCTGAGAACCATAAAAAAAGTTTTGTGAATTTTATATATATATATATATATATATATATAGCAAATGGAGAAAAAACTTTTTTGTTTTTTCATGGCATGTATAGGCAAAAACAACGTTTTATTTTTTCAGATGATTCTCAACTATGTTATGAACGATATAACAGAATGATTCGATATATTATTTAATTTTATGCAATATGTGCGTAAAATGTCCATGAAGTGGTATTCCCATTCTATATAATGCATCTATACATTGCATATAATTTGCATATTAATTTGTTCTTGGGGCTAATCATAATGAAAAAATACGTTCATAACAAAAAGTCATATTCCGATTTGAAACCCCATAACATTATTCTGAGATGTTTTTTTACGACAAACAATTTGAAAATTAGTCAGATACAGGCAGGGCAGACCTTTTGAGGGGCATGTGCTGAAACTGAAAAAGGGCACCCCCCCTCCTTAATGACAAATGACAAAACACAAAATAATAGTCTCAAAAGCTTTAGATTTATTCACTATTAATAACAACCATAATATATATAATATATAGGGTTTCTTAGGTCTATAGGTCTATTTATTATAATGACATGGCTTTTAAAGACTACTTAATTTCTAAATCTCAAAAGGTGGAAGTCAAAAAAAGGACATGGTATGATAGCTTGGCATTATACAGTGCAAAGGATATCTGGCCTTCTAGATGTAAAGTAGGCTATAACAATGGGCCTCCTGGGTAGTTGTCATTATTATTTGTAGGGTCCTGTGTTTGTGAATTGCTCTTGTGTACTCACTCTTTTTTAATTGTTGTAGC